GATATTTCCTTTTCCCCATGAATTTTCCTGGATATTTCCCTCCCTGCACCTTTTCCCCATGAATTTTGTTGGATATTTCCATTTTCCTATGAATTTTCTGGGATATTTCCTTTCCTCATGAGTTTTCTGGGATATTTTCTTTTCCCCATGGATTTTCTGGGATATTTCCACCCCTGCACCTTTTCCCCATGAATTTTGTTGGATATTTCCATTTTCATATGAATTTTCCTGGATATTTCCCTCCCTGCACCTTTTCCCTATGGATTTTCTGGGATATTTCCATTTCCCCCATGAATTTTCTGGGATATTTCCTTTTTCCATGAATTTTCTGGAATATTTCCCTCCCTGCACCTTTTCCTTATAGATTTTCTGGGATATTTCCTTTTCCCCATGAATTTTCTGGGATATTTCCTTTCCCCCATGAATTTTCCGGGATATTTCCCTCCCTGCACCTTTTCCCATGAATTTTCTGGGATATTTCCATTTCCCCGTGAATTTTCTGGGATATTTCCTTTTCCCCGTGAATTTTCTGGGATATTTCCATTCCCCCATGAATTTTCTGGGATTTTCCATTTCCCCATGAATTTTCTGGGATATTTCCCTCCCTGCACCTTTTCCCCATGGATTTTGTTGTATATTTCCATTTTCCTATGAATTTTCTGGGTTATTTCCTTTTCCCCATGAGTTTTCTGGGATATTTCCCTCCCTGCACCTTTTCCTTCTAGATTTTCTGGGATATTTCCTTTTCCCCATGGATTTTGTGGGATATTTCCTTTTCCCTATGAATTTTCTGGGATATTTCCATTTCCCCCATGAATTTTCTGGGATATTTCCATTTCCCCCATGGATTTTCTGGGATATTTCCATTTTCCTATGAATTTTCTGGGATATTTCCTTTTCCGCATGAATTTTCTGGGATATTTCTTTTTCCCCATGAATTTTCTGGGATATTTCCTTTCCCCCATGAATTTTCTGGGATATTTCCCTCCCTGTGTCACTCCTTGTCCCATTTTCCCCCCAGATCTGGCATTTTCCCTCCTCCCCTCCACGTCTTTAACGAATTTATTAAAATTCCCTGTAAGAATCCATGGAATGGAGGCAGCTCACTGCATTTTCCTGCTTTCTCTGCCTGCAACCAATTCCAGCAACTCCATAAATGTCAAATGCACGTTTTGTGTTCAGCAGCTCCACAAATTAAAGGGGAATTCTCCAGGAATATCAGAGGCAGGGGTTGATAAATGCAACTTTATCAGGGATTTTTGTGTTAATGTGTAATTTGAGTTCCACTCGTCCTGCCCAGATATCAGGGTTGTTTTATCTCACTGAGCCTTTTTGGAGCTCAGGGTTCTTTTCTCACTCAAGATTTGAGTGATCACAAAAGATTTGAGTGATCACAAGAAGAACTGGGCTGGGATTTGGGGAAATTCAGATTTTTTTGGTGCTGGTTTGGCCACAGCTGTGGTTGGTGGAATTTATTTCACCTGTGTGATGTTTGTGGTTTAGAGATAAGCTTTATTGGAGTTAATTAAAATAAATGGGTAGGCCTTGGTGAAATTAAGAGTTGGTAGTTAACTAATAATTG